GGCCTTTGTTTTCACCGCGATGGTTGCCAGGCGGTGAAAATGCCCAGATGTTCGATTGCGTGAATAGGTAATAACCAGATGTCTACGTCCCGCTGTTTTCATTTAGCTACCCTTGCCTGTATTGTTCCGGCCTGCGCCGTTGTTATATGCGTTGATATAACATATGATATTCCATACACGACACACATACGGTACTGTAGATTGTTTTTGTTCGTTAGTCTAAACTGCCAACAAATAATGTGCCATTCAGTAGTTGTTGTTTTTTAATAATTTGAGTAATAGGGTTTCTTTATTCGATTTATTTATTTGACGTATTGTACTCGATTAGACTTGTTCGCATAGAATTGTGTGCCGTTTGTACAAAGTCGTCGCGAACACTGCAATATTTCCTATTTTATCCATTTTCGTTGCATTGTTTTTTTTTAAAACTACAATAAGATGACTATGACTGTGATTTTAACCCAGGATGAAATTGTTTCCTACACATTAACGATGGCAAGAAAATATCCAGACAGTGCTGTCACATTTAACGACGTGTGGGTATCACGTGATGTGAAGTCCTCCACGCATAGACATATAGTTGTTTTCAAGTGGCCTTTTCTCTTGCTGTCACGAAAATCGAACACAACGCGAAGCAATGTCAGTGGCGCTGCCCAGCAATCTCCCCAGGCAGAGTTCTATTACGAATATATCTCTGCCACCACGCGATCTTATGCTTGTTGTTGATTGGTCGATGCGTCACAGTGGTACTACTTTCAAAGACGCGTACCAAATGCAAGTGTTCGATTTTCGAACCTAACTAAAGTGTGCGCGTTGTTTGTAGATTCTGGCTGTTTTCATAGTGAGAAGCTCATATTTTTACTTTCCTTGGCACAAACGGAGTGGCAATAGAACGTGTTCGCTGTCAATACCACGAAGTGCTTTCCTTTCTTCATATGTCTTCGCCTAGCGATCGACAGGGCCGTCAGCTTGATGAACCGAGTAACACCTTAGTTACCGTTATTCCGCGATGAAATTATTTTCTTTTGTAAATTATAACTATTTCACCGTTTTCAGTGTGTTTACGAAAAAAATCATTATCAGCTATCGACGAAATATTTTAAAACTTGTTTTCCAGTAGGAATAAATCAACACGAAAGCCATCCAATAACAAAAATAGGCAAATGATACGCGTAGTAAAAGTCTTGTGGTGTTTCACCACAAAATGGCGGTGTGTGGTGGCAGAGATACTTTCGCATCCTGCGTGACAAGGGTCACGCGCCATCCTCCGGTAACCCTTTGCCACCACAAGCGGTGATTTTATCAAGAATCGTGATAAATAAATACGTTCTTGCATTAATTGAACTAGAAAATGTATCAAAATGATTCAAATACTTCATAAAGTAGTTGGTTTAAATAAATATAGTAAAATATTATGTTTTACCGTGCTTTGTGGACGTAAATGGCTATTTTGATAAAGGACTACATTTTTGTGGATTGATTACATGGCGTAAATAGTATCCCGGGAGATTTTAAAATGGTAGCCTCCGATCCGATTGTGAAATCATGCAATGATGCCTTGAACCCCAACATGTAGGTAAATGTTAATTTGGAGAACTTTACCATTGTTTATTCACCACAGAGACTATTCAGGGGACAAGCCGTAATTTTTGTGTGTTTATCCTTAGACAACTAATAAATTTATTTGTTGTCTGGGGTTTATCATTGGTTGCTAGGTTGTTCTTCTATTGTAAAATATTAATCGTCACTGTTGTTTTGCTGCTCACTGTTCTGTGGTTATGGAATGCCCCCTTATATAATAAAATGTTCATACAAGGAAAACAAATTACTAGTGGTGGTCGGTGAATCACTGTTTTTAGTAACCGTGGGTGAATAAATAATTTGTTTCTCAGAAGTATTGGGCAAGACGCATTTTATATTATGTCTTTTAAATAAGCCACTGTAGAATACTTTATTTTCGCTTGGAATTTATTTTCGCTATTTTCGCTGAAGGAATGATTCCGTGAAAATAAAATCCAGCGAATATACTTTTTGTCCTATATTTCACATTAAACTCATCAAAAATCAGTGAAAATAAATTCCATACAAAACGCCCAAAAAGCCTTTTCAGCGAAAATTAATTCCAGCGAAAATAAAGTATTCCACAAAGTAATATAAGCAATTAGATCTCATTTTTTTACAATTTATTTTAATAATATACTACATTGATATACATAGTGTATATGCTATGCTTTCAAAGTCCACATTTTGGCGATGGCCACTACAAATTGACACTAATGACACGGGAAATGTTTTATTAAAAACAAAAATAAGAGAAAAAAAGATACAGCTATTAACACTTTAATCAAAATAAAAGTTATACCTACCTACATTGATTTCAGTGTTTCCATAAACAACACTATTTTATTTGTCCTATACAAAATGTACCCACTCTCAATGCAGCATGTTCAAGTGTACTGCTTGACAATATAAATTTTACATTGATCATGTAAATATTATAAGGATTAAAATTATAATAAGATACTAATTTAGATTTATTTTTATCTTGACTTCTGCTATTGTTGAAATAGATTCAGTCACAAT